TCCATGTGTAAACATAAAGTTATTTTATAATTTTAAATAAACTGTAACATACCAAAAATATGTATTTTTAATTATTAATCTTTACTCAGATACAGTCAAGAGGATGGGGATGGCCTAAGGGACAGAAAAGTCCTTCTCACACCACTGATAGGGACCTTCTTATGCTGTCTTTATCACTCACTAGATTGGATGTGTGAGTCTCCACTCAGCAGTTTCCAGGAGTATCCTCCCTAGATATCTGATTTCAAATACTGAGAAACCTAGTACAGCTAGTTTTTCTGAGCCCTGAGATGCAGTGAATTGAGTGATGTGGTAATAACAACTCCTCACACTCCTAGTACTGACTGCTTTCCAAGATTCTTCCTTCCCAAGCCCATCACCAGAACCTCATTGCAAGCCCCCTGTTGTGAACAGGCTGGGATCCTTGCTTCCACTTTACAAAGAGATTAAGACTCACAGGTTGGATGACTTGTCCAAGATTATATGTCTAGTCGAAGTAGATATAAGATAAAAATCCAGGTCTCTTTATTCCCTCTTTGTGCTACATTTACCTCTACACCCCACTCAGAAAAAGCAAGCTCAGAAAAAACAAGCAACTCACAGTGGAGTGGCTTGAAAAATCTGAGTAGCAATACAAAGACAGATCATATGAAAATAACACTGTCTTCCTAACACTGGTATTTTACAAGTGTGTTGCTGTGACAGGCTGGGTTCCTCAAGGGCAGAGGCAGAGAGTTATTCATTTCCATGTCCCTAGAACAGGGCCATAGTACATAGTTTCTGATAACAGGGTTGTCAGAAACTTTGAATGAGCAATAATAATGTCCCTTACACTTCACACCTTTCTCTAATAACAGGATGCATGGCACAGATCCACACAGGCTACCTGGGGCATGTGGGAACAGAGGGGACACCGAGACTCGCAGGACATCTGACCTCCACAGAAGGACCCAAATTATTGCCTAGTGAGAGTGGGGCAGGAACAGCACCTTCTTTACACCGAATATGTCTGCCCCTGGATTTCTAGGGTGAGAACTGAGGGAGAAGGAAAGAATTTCAAACTTTATCTTGGCTATTGCCAAGCCAATTCCTTCTTCTGAGAGCAAAGGGATAGCCAAAAGTTTGGGGAAGAAGAGCCAAATAACTGTCTGTCCCCTGCAAATAAAAAAGGAAGTAAATAATTGCTAAAGCTGCTCTGGTTGCCCACCCTTTATCAATAGTTGGGATTCTCTTATGCTTCATTTAAATTGCTTTTGGAAACCCTAACCCTTAAAAATGTGGTGTGTCTCCTTTTTAAGGATAAAGACACTCCAGCTTCATTGTCAAAAATTTTGTGTTTATTTAGGAGATTTTAACATTAAAGGATAGGAAATCTGCTTTCTTATTGGCTGAATATATTAATTTTCTGCTTTAGATAGTATTTTTACAATGGTATTTTAAATTATCCCTTCTTACATTGTGCATAATTTTAAAGCAACCCTAAATTCCTTTCTGAAGCAGAAAGACTACAAGTAAAAATTATAAACTTTCAAAAAGTAGGAATACAGTCAATAAAGGAAAAAAAATTCGATGCCTCAATTCTCTATAAGAGTTGTTCCCTGAATACTTATTGGGTGCCCACTACACACCTACTGCTGCATAAGACAGTGGTTCTGCAGAGGTGATTCTAACATTTCTGCTCAGTGAGATCAGAGGAGAGTGATTCAAATCACATATGTGAAAAGGGCTAAACTATAGCTATGAGAAGGAAGTATAGGGAAAGGGCTCCTTACTAATTCCAGGGGTGGGAAGAAGAAATACTAAAAAGGGAATGAAGGAAGAGAAATGGAAATGATGGGTAAAGGAAAGGGAAGTTATTCAAACCTGAAGTCTGCTGAAGTCATGAGTAGCAAAGATCAAATTCATATACTATAATGTTCTGTCTTTGTAAAAAAACAAACAAAAAAACTACCTAAATTTTTTTTTTAAATGGGAGATTAAGATTGCCAAAACTGGAATTATAACCCATTTGCATTCTTATGTACTAGTATATTATGGAAGACCTGGTAGTCTTGAAATCTTTTCTTTTTCTAAATTCTAATAGTGGAAACCTTTAACTTTCCATTTGGCAAATGGACACAGTTATGTAGCAAAGTCATCATTCTCATAACAACTAGGCTTTTAATGGCTCTATAGTGTTTCTAAGGCTATATATTTACATCAGGAGTTTCTTAACTTTTTCTGTGCTCTGGCAGCCTGGTGAAGCATGTAGATTCCTTTCAATTATAAAATATAAGATGTGTAAATGTATAAAATAAAGTACACAGGAGAATAAAAATTCAATTATTTAAAGTAATTATCAAAATAGTTACCAAAATATTAAACAAACAAATCTGTGATTAGTCAAAATGTTTTTTTATAAATAACAAATATATTTACAGGGGTAAATGTAGTGGCAGGTCTAATAACTACCATGATTCTTTAGTAGTGATGACAGTAATTGTATTTAGAGATATCTGTCACAACTGTATAAAAATACAAGAACCTCTGTGATTACCTGTAGTGACAAAGTCACTCATGCTACTGCTGCTACTATAGCCTGTTGTCTTCGTTCATAACTAGGGAAAATGCTCAATTTCATTTAAAGGCAAATAAAAATAAATATTAATGTTATTTCTCATCTTAGTTCATGGACCCCCACTCCTCCCTGGTTTGAAAGGAACCCAGGCTAAGACTCCCTGACTTAATGGCACCCTCTCTCTGTTCTCTGCCTTGTGGGCCAGATGAGGTTTAACTGAGTACTGGCTGTTAAGTGGAGGCTTGGATTCTCCTCTGAGCTGAGGAGAAAGTGAAGAGTATCTGCTGGGAACCCACCCCACTCACATGTAAGCCTTGTAATTGTTGCCTATCTTCTGGACCCGGATGTCATACTTGGCGTCAATGAAAGGCTCTGCTGTGGCGTAGGTCTGGGTGAGGGCTACCACGCTAGCAATGTCCTGGAAGTCGTAGTGGTTTTCCACTTTGACCTAATTTTGGAGCAAGGCAGAGAGGGAAAAAAGGAGACATACACATACACACACACAGAGTCACAAGGATCCAAGGCCTCCAAACCCATCAAGATTTTTCCATTCCAGTTGCAAGCCTGAGTGCCACATCTTAGGAGAGTCCTCTCTCCAGCTTCCTTTCCTAGGCTCAGGAGCTACACTTACTGCAAAAGGCCCAATGGACCAAGCAGGTGGCCTACACTCGGCTTGTTGAAAAGGCCTGTTTGGGTAACACTCATGGTTTCAGAGGAGCCAAATCATGGAAGAATTAATCAATAACAGAGGGAGAATAGTCCATAACCGGACTCTCTGAAAAGTACCCTTCTTGGCCTCAATTCCAAAGCACAGCAGGCCCCAGCCTTACCTTGCCCATGCCTGAGTGAGCATGGCCAATCTTCACCACCACAGGGAATGTGGGCAATGTCAGCTGAAAGCAGAGGAGAAAAGAATGAATTGGTCAGAGTGTGCCTGTTTTTCTGTGAAATGTTACAAATATTTTTCTTGGGAACACCCTTGGAAGGGCCTTTTAAAAAACTAGTCCAACCTATGTGCTTTACAAATACAAAAAACTGAGGCCCATAGAGTGACAGTAACTTGCTAAAGGTCCCAGCATGTTAATGGCAGATCTATAAGAACTCTGTTTTCCTACTTGGTACTCTACATCTTTAAAACTAATTGTTTCAATCTTCTCTGCATTAGACAAACACAGGGCAGGACTGGAGAATTGGAAAAAATGCATCTTTTTTAAAATATATTTTTATTGATTTCAGAGAGAAAGGGAGAGGGAGAGAGAGATATAAACATCAATTATGACAAGGAATCACTGATCGGCTGCTTCCTGCATGCCCCCTACTGGGGATGGAGCCCGCAACCCTAGCATGTGCCCTTGACCGGAATCGAACAGGTGACCCTTCAGTCCACAGGCCAATGTTCTATCCACTGAGCAAAACCGGCTAGGGTGAAAAAAATGCATCTTTGAAAGGGTGAATTTTACTGCATGCAAATTGTACCCTAGTAAACGATAATTACAAAAGGAATATATCTTTGGAATCTAATGTCCCTTTTGTCATGTCCCTCTTAGTATCCTCCCCTCCCGCTCAAACATCTAGCTTTCCTATACTGAACCTATCTTTTCTCCACATTTCACAGTCTCTTCATTGCTCACCAACACCCCAAGCTCAACCAACAAACAGTCTAGTACAGTGAAGGCAAACTCATTTTTTTGGTTGATTTCTTTGTTAAATGGCATTTAAATATATAAAATAAATATCAATAATATAAATCTTTGTTTTACTATGGTTGCAAATATCAAAAAATTTCTATATGTGACACGGCACCAGAGTTAAGTTAGGGTTTTTCAAAATGCTGACAGGCCGAGCTCAAAAGGTTCGCCATCACTGGCCTAGTATGTTTTTTCTGCCCAGCTTGGGGTTTGGAAGAGAGCTGACATAAAAAGTCAACATGTTTGTAATTTGAAAGAGATCCTTATGAGGGTAAATTCTACTTTGAGGTAGTTGTATTTTAACAGACAAATAATAAAAACTTAAAAGAACTACTCTCCAAACCTACCTTTGCCCCCACCTTGTATAAGACATGGTCTCTCCAGTGAGTAGCAACATGAGATAGGAATCAGTAGGCTACTATCTGAAGAGGCTTTGAGGTCCCAGGTTTATGCTAGGTAATGAGATACTCTGTGCTTTGAGCTCACACCAAATGCACTGTCCTCGGCCATCTGCAGTCTGAAGCTCTGGGTATGGGAAAGGGTTTCTAAAGCACTGGCTGCTTTCTCTGACATCTCTCCCCACCCCCCAGCCGACAGAGCCAAGACACACACACACACACACACACACACCCCAACTTTCTCTGTCTTATTCCATTACTGTTTACTGTTGCTTTGGAGCCTCCTAAATAGGGCATTGAAAACACTTCCTGCAGCTGAAAGAAGCCCTGAGAAGCTTGTCTCATTCCCAGTGTGCAGCTCAGCAAGGGGTTCGTCCTTCTCTGTCACTGTCTTTTGCCTGTTGTAATTCTGTCTGCCTCTCGATGACTCTGCCTGTCTCACTCTTTCTGTTTGTGCCTCTCCTCACTCTTGTTCTTTCTGCCTGAATCACAGTCCCTTGGTCTTCTGCCTCTTGCATTTGTCTTTGTTGTGCTTTCTTTTTGCCGTTACACCATCCCCTCTCCCAGTGCCTTCCCTCCACTTCTGGGAGGCTTAATTGCTCAGGCACGGAAATGGAAGCTAAGGGCTTCTCCTGGCTTCCCTCTTCATTTTATTGAGGCTGCCAGTCAGGAGGGCTGTGGGTCCTGTAGCTGCGGGTGGCTTACAGCCAAAGGCGGGCGGAGCCCACAGGGCGGGATTGGCCCTAGGTCCACCTCATAAAGCCTAGGGCGAGGGGCGTGAGACGTTCTGAAAGTGCCCTGGAGAGTCTGTTTGATCCGACAGACCCCACAGGCTTAGTTGGGGTTCTGCAGTGTCATGCCCCGGAGCCTCCAGACCGTGTGGAGCTGGGCGCTGTTGCTGCGGCTGCTGGCATTGCTGCGGCCGCCAGGGCTGGGCGAGGCGTGCAGCTGCGCCCCCTCGCACCCCCAGCAGCATGTCTGCCACTCCGCGCTTGGTGAGTCCGGAGGCCTGGGAGGTACACAGCTGGGGGTGGTTGTGTGTGATTAGTACGGGGCATTGCTGTAGACCTGTAGTCTGGAGGGAATGGGAGGAGCTCAAATCCTGCACCAGCTGCCTCCGGTTGGGGTTGATGGGCAAGGCCGGCACCATAGCAACCTTGCAGGGGCAGAGCTTGGCTGACTTGTAAGGAAATTAAGACTGTGTAAGGGGCCTCCATAGCGGCCCCCTCACCCCTGCCTACTGTCATTGAACAAGTCACTGGAACTATCCTGTGATTATTCTGAACTACTGGATGGGGGGAGGGGAAAGCCAGCGCCAGGAGGTTGGGCTTTCCTTATAAACCTCCCTGTGTCCAAGCCTACATATAACTGAGCCATCATACACTCACACCAATACACATCTTTTACCCTTTCTCTTCCCTCTGCCTGGAATGCCCTTCCCCCCATCCTTAAATTCCTGGCAAACACCTATTCATTCTTCAAAGTCTCACTCAGGTATCCCCTTTTCTCTGAAGCCTTCCTGACTCCTTGGTGCTACTATGGCATTTTTAACATTTTTGTGCTTCTACTATGCTGTGCTATTGTTTGCAAATGTGTTCTCCACTAGACCAAGAGTTCTGCAGGATAGAGGACCCTGTCTTAATCACATCTATGACCTGGTACCTAGTGTTAGGCCAGGCACAGAGGAAGAACTTCATGAACAGTTTTTGATTAATTACCAAATGGCAAAAGATGAGCTACCTCTGTGCAGGGTCAGATCATTTATTAATTCAATAAACATTTGGGCTCAAGATACCAAAACTCTGGGCAGGCTCTGTTTTAGTCCTTGGGCTACATCAATAGATGACCACACTGACCTACCCTCAATGGGCTCCTTCTCCCTCCTCTATCCTGATGCCCACCCCCAGTCCCTGGTCTGTGAGCTAGACTCAAAACTAGCAAGTAAAGTGTAGAGACTGTAGGACCTAGTAGGCCTGCCTGCACAGGAGTTTCCAGGTCCCCACTCTCTCATATCCTCCTCCTCACAATCCAGAATTCTCCTACAAAATTCTCCAGGGGCCCCAGGCCATCCACATCCCAAATTACCCCCACAGGTTGCTGAAGGTCCCCTCTTTTGCTTCCTATGCAGTGATCCGGGCCAAGATCTCCAGTGAGAAGGTAATTCCTGCCAGTGCAGATCCTGCTGACACTCAAAAAATGATCCGGTATGAAATCAAACAGATAAAGGTACATGGGGACAGGACAGCACTTTTACCTTCTGGGCTTTGGGGGGGGGGGGTTAGGGTGTGTGTTTTGGGAAGGGTGGTGCTTATAGGTCAGGCAGTCTGGCTCAGTGATCCTGGATGTTGATGCTAAAGTGGAAGTGGATGACATTTTGGGAATACGGCCCACAGAATCTGAATGACAGTGCAGGACAGACCCTCAATGTCCCTCTAGTCCTATAGCTGCCTGTGCATGGGGCTTCTGGAGGTACCTCCCCTCTCACTGGAATAAACCAAGGTTTTTTTTAAAAAGAGAAATGACCCAGTTAGGCCATCTGTGTGCATCAAATCCTGAACTAGACATTTGCTTAATTTCTTTAGACTGAGAAATGAGAAATTTTCCCTGTTAAAATATAAAGTTCACTCATTGACCTAATATAATACTGCTTTTTTGTAATTGTCTTTCAGATGTTTAAAGGGTTTGAGAAAGTCAAGGATATCCAGTATATCTATACACCTTTTGATTCCTCCCTCTGTGGTGTGAAACTAGAAGCAAACAGCCAGAAGCAGTATCTCTTGACTGGTAAGTTAAAGAGCAGCAAGTGGCCCCAATAGTCTCTGTCCTAAGGAAGGCAGCCAAGGAGGAGCCAGGGCTGCCCTTGGGCAGCAAGCTGAGCAGGTAACACATTCTTGGGTATAAAACAGAGCTGTGTTACTTACTAAGAGGCAACCTCTGAATCAGGAGGGGCCTTGGTTACCTCCCTTTCAATGCAAGAATCCTCATTACAGTGACCTTGGCCACTGTTTCACTATTTTAGGAACAGGTTGCTCTCACAGCCTAGGGTAGCTGGTTCCATTTTCAAACAGTTTTAATTGGCATACGATTTTTGGTATCTTGAGCCCAAGTCTGCCCCTCTGAAACTGCTCTTTGTGGATTCAGCTCTGCCCTCTGCTCTATGATGATGCATCAGAGGCCTGAGGACAATAGATGCAAGCACTCTAACTTCAGGTCTGCTGGCCATCTTCTCCAATGGGATATTGTCCCTGTCCCTTTCCTGTCATAGTACAGGACAATGAGCTGGACACAACACTACAGGAAAGGTCTTAATTTCACATAGTAAAGGAAAATTGTGTGTGTGATCCCCTCTCCCTCAACACACACATTATAGTTACTGTAGCCTCTGATGGCATTAGCTTTAGACAGCCACACTGGATCATACCCCTGACTCATAGTGAGTCTGTGTGGCTAACTCACACCCCAGGCCCTATTAGGGGGTAGAGTAAAGCACAAACTCTAACAGGAGCCTTGAGTCTAACATGGTTCTGTTTCCACGAACTTGGGCCCAGGTATAACTACTTGCAATTATAGAAGGTATTCAGCTGGACTGTGCCCCTCCACCTTTGCACAGGATAGTCCCAATGTTCAGAAGTCTTTTCCCCAACTTGTCTGGCAGGTAAACTCCATGCTGAATTGGTTGGGATAGAACAATTAAAGAACCACATAAAACTATGACTCTATAAGTGAGTGAATGCTATACTATAGTATTTTGTAGTTCAGGAAGAAGGTATTTATGTGCTTATAAACAGTTAGGGAAGCTTCATTGTGTAAGTGAGATCTAAATTAGCCCTGAAGGATGAAAAATGCTTAGAAAGGCAAGGAAAAGAAAAACACAGCAGATAAGGAGAAATTCCACTATCTGTCCACCCACTCAGCAATGAATGACCACCTACTTGCTGCCAGGCCTTGGACAGGAGAGTGGAGACTCAGTCACAAGTCATAGTCCTCAAAGAGCTCATAGTCCAAACTTGACTCTTGAGAACTCATAAGCATTGAAGGACACACTGGAAGGGGCTCCCCAGCTCTAAGAATGTGGAATTGTGCTGATCTGGGAGCCTCTGGATGAGAGAGGCAGAGGCAGAGCATGCCACTGAGCCCTCCACATCCCAGGACTAGCAGATGAGGCCATTCCTTCCTTCCTAAGTACCTACCTTCTGTGTGCTTAGCCCACTGCTAGGCACTGTGGTGCATCAGTCAAAGCAAGAGGCATGCTTTCTGCCCTCAAGGAGGTCAAATCTAACCAAGGATGAAAATAAATGACAAAACACAGGTCTAGTGAAAAGTCATCAGAGATGTCCATGCTCTTCAAGAGAAGTCACAAACTCTTTTGCCTAATGGTGAAAGTCCTTTGTGACCATAACACTGCTGACCTCTCCAGTTTTGTCTCCTGCCACTTATCACTGAGTTTCCAGCCCCTCATTTTCCCCAGAGCCAAACTAAACTACTTGCAGTTATAGAAGGTATTCTGCTGGGCTGTGCCCCTCCACCTTGTACAGGAAGTCCCAATGTCCAGAAGTCTTTCCCCCAACTTGTCTGGCAGGTAAACTACTAACCATCCTTTCAAAGCCCAACAGGAGCATCATCTTCTCTTAGACAGCTTCCTTGCCCCCTGCCCCTTCCACAGAGATAATTGTGATTTCCTTTGTTCTTATACTGCATCTTTTATATAAACACTATAGGCCCGGTGCACGAAATTCGTACACTGGAGGGGTGTCCCTCAGCCCAGCCTGCACCCTCTCCAGTGCACAAATTTCATGTACCGGGCCTCTAGTGTTTATATAAAAGATTTGGGACCCCTCAGGGGATGTCTGACTGTCTGTTTAGGCCCAATCCCGCATTGGGCCTAAACCAGCAGTCAAACATCCCTCTCACAATCCGAGACTGCTGGCTCCTAACCGCTCACCTGCCTCCCTGCCTGATTGCCCCTAACCACTTCTACCTGCCAGCCTGATCGCCCCTTAACCACTCCCCTACTGGCCTGATTGATGCCTAACTGCTTCCCTGCTGGTGCGATTGCTCCCAATTGCCCTCCCCTGCCAGCCCGATAGCCCCCAACTGCCCTCCCCTGCCGGCCCTATGGCCCCCAACTACCCTCCCCTGCCGGCCCTATGGCCCCCAACTACCCTCCCCTGCCAGTCCAATGGCCCCCAACTGTCCTCCCCTGCCGGCCTGATGGCCCCCAACTGCCCTCCCCTGCCGGCCCTATGGCCCCCAACTGCCCTCCCCTGCTGGCCCAATCGCCCCCAACTGCCCTCCCCGCTGGCCCAATCGCCCCCAACTGCCCTCCCCTGCCAGCCTGGTCACCCCCAACTGCCCTCCCTTGCAGGCCTGTTCGCCCCCAACTTCTCTCCCCTGCTGGCCTGATTGCCCACAAATGCCCTCCCCTGCCAGCCATCTTGTGGCGGCCATCTTGTGATGACGTGGGGGTGGCCATCTTGTGATGATGTGAGAGTGTTGCGCAAGGGCGCAAGGACCACCTAGGCTTTTATTAGTGTAGATAACAGTATAATTTTTGCCTATTTATCTGTCTGACCTACTTGTTTTTAAGCTCCTTGAGATCAAAGATCCTACCATATTTATTTCTGCATTCATGGTACCAGGTCTAGTAGTTGCTCAGTAAGTAAATGAATGACTAAAGTTCTAAGAGATGTGAGCTAGCATGGTCAGGGATGGCTTTGAGGATGAGGTTGTACTGAAAAGGGTCTTTGGAAGATAGGAAACTATTTGATAAGTAAAGAAGGGGCACTTTCCCATAGAGAAGGAGAAAGACATACCAATATAGGTATCAATGGAGCAGAAGACTGGCCTATGTAGATATTGGGAAGGGTTGGAAAGGGGAAGGGCCCTGTTATTTATTGAGCATCTTCTATGGGCCTACTACTGTGCCAGAAGCTTTACCAAATATTCTCTCATTTAATCCTGACAATAACCTTATCATTCTCATCTTCCAGTTGAGAAGTTACATGACTTTCTTAAGGTCACACATCTAGTAAATGACAGAAAAGAAAGGGGTTTCACTAAGAATCTCCCTTTATAGCCCATGTTTTCTCTGCATCACACTAAAGGAAAAGGCCTTTATCCCACAACTCTCCTTTGTACAAACATAATCTCTGATATAAAGATTATAGAGATATTTTTGGTCCCTTAATTGAGTCTTATGTCACCACTGCCACCAAAAAAAACACACACACAAAACAAAACCAAAAAACAACAAAAAACACACACATTAAAGAGGCTGCAATTCTGGGCTCTTCAAGGATCCAGACTTCTGGAGTTTCACAAACATATTCCTCATGCTAGGTTCTCCTCTATCTCCCTTTGTAGGTCAGGTCCTCAGTGATGGAAAAGTCTTCATCCATCTGTGCAACTACATTGAGCCCTGGGAGAATCTATCCTTTTTGCAAAAAGAAAGTCTGAATCACCACTACCATCTGAACTGTGGCTGCCAAGTAAGAGGATGTCCATTTCTAAGGTCTTTGGTGGGGGGTTGGGGGGGGGAGGGTCTTGAGCCTTTCAGCCTCACCTTTAATGGCACCTGCTGATGGTACTTCTTCCTTCATGCATGCATTTATTCATTTACTATAGTATACTTGAGATATGCCATGGATCAGGTACTGTATAAAGTTAGAGATGGGAAAGCAAGATGATCCATAGTCCCTGATCTCAAAGTACTTAACATTTTGGCAAGGAAGGTGGCATCATATAAGGCAAACTGAAATAGTATAGCTACCATTTTAACAGAAATTACTCTTAATCAGGCCCTCTAATGGTCAATTTATTTTAAATATTTTAATGTAGTCTTTAGAACAAATGTATGAATAATTAAGATTTCCATTTTAAAGAAATGAATGCTCTAGAAAGTAATTTTCTCAAGGTCAGTGGTAGAGTAAGGACCCTCAGGTTTGTCTGACTCCAGAAATGCCATTAGAGAGGCAAAACTATGTGGGAAACCATGGGGAAGGAAAACTTGGGGAATTTTAGAGACTAAGAAGGACTTCATAAGGCTAGGGCATTTGAGCTAGGTTGTAAGGATGTATATGAATCTGAAAAAAAATTGTAGAAAAATGACACCCTACTCACTTTGATGTTGTGTTGTTATGACTCTAGGTCACCACCTGCTATACAGTGCCCTGTACCATCTCAGCCCCCAACGAGTGCCTCTGGACAGACTGGCTGCTGGAACGGAAACTCTATGGGTACCAGGCCCGGCATTATGTCTGCATGAAGCATGTTGATGGCACCTGCAGCTGGTACCAGGGACGCCTGCCCCTCAGGAAGGAGTTTCTTGACATAATCCAGCCCTAGTAAAGAACAATGACCACCACATTCCTTCAGGAGTTCTGAAGAACAAGCCAGTTCTTCCTCTCTACAAAGCTCTGGCTATCACCACTTGCCTCATTGCTGCCAGCCAAGGGGAAGTACCAAGTGGACAGTCTGGCTAGTGTTAGAACAGGGCTAGGGTATGTTACAGCTTGTGCCTGAAACCCCAGCCCAAACATGTCAAAGGCTAGGGAAAGTATCCTGCCCTCAGCCCTTCTTTCCTGCCTCCCAAACCTTTTTCTTCTAGCCAATACCTGTTACTGAAAGTTTTGATTCTGGATTAGAATCAAAATAGTTCTGGCCAGAAATATTCCCTTTTCTCTCTAGGAAAATGTATTTTCTCTTACCTTAATTGATCTAATAGTGAAGAAATGGTGAATGCTATTCATATGAGATAGTGTAGCTATCTGATGTACAACACCAGAAGACAGGTTGACAGTATCATAAACAGGCTGATTTGGAAGAATGAAAAGACCAGCATAGTATGGCTGTGTATCCTCTACTCCAATCTCAGCTCATCTTGATCCTCTCTTACACTTTCATTTGTTTGGGGAAGTGACTTACAAGGGCATAGAATCACTCAATATGAGACCTACAATGGCCTAACCTCCCACTACACGCTGTAATCTCCTCTGTCCCATTCCTGGCAGAGGGTCTGGCCCCCTAGCACACCTCTTTGGATAAGAATAGACTTAGGTATTATCTCTGCAGGTTAACTACCATTAATACCTTCACCTGATGTCCATAAGTCTTCTTTTATGTTTCTTTTAGAAAGTCCTTCTCTACTAGATTACTAATGTCTTCATTCCTACTTCAAAACTTTTTTTTTAAGCCAGAAAAGCCTAGAGTTGAAATTCTCCTTTAGATTTTAACACATCAGAGAGATCTCAGGAGGTCTTCTTTGGAGGGCAAATTTCAGGATAGAGAACAAGAGAGAAATAACACAAGGGCTCTTGGGGGAAAAGGATGGTAGATTAGACAATATACTTTGCAATTTTTTCAAAAAAAATTTTGTGGTTAGCCCTGCTAAATATTACAGCAAGAAAAATCCAGCTTTGCTCCCCATCCTTCCTTCAACTCAGTCCCCCTACCACTGTGTATTGGACTCCCTGAGAACTCCAAGCATAGATCTCTTAAGCCCTGATGTTGGTCTCAAGGATTTATTAAGGACAAGAGCTTAAAGTTCCAGAGCCTCTCCCTGGGAAGCTCTACCTCTAAGGAGGTAGTTCTATTCAAGGCTCAAGGTTGTTGTTATTTGTTTTCTATACGTTGTTTGATGAGAAGCAAGGCCATGCACAATATGCCAGAAGAAGGCTCTTGATTCACAGAAATGGTACAAATGTAGTTCCTTTTTGAGAAGGGAGTAGAGGGTAACAAACATAATCTCTGTCCCAGAGTACAACTAGAATGCTATGGCAGAGAGTCTCCATTGGTGAGTTAAGCATGATCACCAACTGACCATGCAGGCCTGGGGCAGAGAGTGTGGAGATAGAGGGGAAGAAGAGGGAGCGAGCTCCAGGTCTCCATGGAGGAAAAACCAATCAACCATGCCATCTCTCTGCCCCTTCTGATATCCTAGGATGGCCTCAGAGAAGGCATAATGTTAACCCAGTCTTCTCACAATCTTGACAAAGCCAAGGGAATGAAAGGCCTTGGTAATAATAGCAGGAATAACACCTGACATCTGAGGGATGCTTCACATTTTCCCAGAAGGCTATTACTTAAATTTTGTACCAAATTCAAGATCCTGGTTAGGAACAATTATGCCCATTTGACTTTCCAGTTGGGAAAGTGACACAAAGTGAGTAAATTTAACTAGTCCAATGACATGTGGCAGGGCCAGGGCTAGAATCCAAAGAGTGGGATCTTTTGATTACTGACCCATAGGTTTGTTATTTTCTCAGCTTGATAAAATGGCTTGTTTCTGCTCTTCCCTATTCTGTCTCCAGATTTTAGAGACAAGGGACTATAAGCTAAAATACAGCCACTCTGGCCTCACAAAGCAGGTCTGCAGTTCAGCTCCAACTGGGGTTAAGATACTAAAACCCTCTTCAGAGCCCCACAGTTATAATGTGAATAAGTTCAGAGTGGAAATAACAGAGACTAAAGTCCCCACCTGATCACCTACCATCTCTTTGTGGTTGGGGTAGTATGTCTGCTCAATTAGTGGGAACTTTTCTCCTCCCAATGTCTTGTAGATGGCCACCAGCTGGGCAAACTGTAAAAGAGAAACAAATGTTTCAGCTTATCTAGACAACTTATAGAACAGACAAAACAGCAATCTATCAAAAAATATTTATTGAGCATTTGCTCTGTTGAGGAATTTGTGCTCTGAGGATATAAAAGAGGTGTACAATTCCTATTCTCAAGGAACATATTCTTTAACTGAGAAAATGAGAGAGTGAGCTAACATTCATTCAGTACCTACTCAATTTTAATGATAATTCATTGAAGCCTCATATTAAAATGAGGAACTGGGTACTTTATCATCTTCATTTTACACATAACACTCAGAGAGGGTACAAAAGTTGCCTAAAGTCACAGAGCTGCAAAGAGGTGAAGCTGAGATTGAAATTTGGTTCTCTAATTCTAAACACCTGCATCTCTAGAAATGGCAAGTGATGAAGCTGGATAGGTAACATGGGCCAAGTTTGGGAAGTTTAAATGCCAGGCAAAGAAACAGTATCTTTTCCCTATAGGTAGTATGAAATAATCAGAGTTTGAGCAGGGGGGTAATGAATGAAGCTGTTCTTCAGGAAGATTTTGATGGTCCTGGTATATAGGATAGACAGACTCAGTCTTTGTGGGACTTACTACTCATCTAAGAACTGAACTCAACTAGCCCCTTCACCTATGAGAAACCAGAACAGCTCCATGAGGAAGAGGTGAAGTATGCATACTTACAGTGTCAGGGTTGAAAGGCCTTTGGCAAATATCTAGCATCCTCTGCTCCCCTCCCCTACAATTTTATAAGTGAAGAAGCTGAGACCCAGTCAAATCATTTCCCCAAGGTCACATGGTTGAGCCAGATTCATAGTTAGGTCCCTTTATTCTCAATTCATAACTCTTTCTATTCCTCCAAGTAGCTGCCTTTCAGTCTCTGCAGAAACCATGCTCTTCACACAGGAAACACAGGTTACTTCCCTACTCAATCCATTCACACACACCACACACACCTATCCCCAGTACACTGGCAGCAGGGGTAATCCAGCATCCTTCCTCTAGTGCTACTGGGTTACTTCACAGTCTAAGCCCCAATTTCTGGAACTGCTAGAAGGAAAAGTTGCCAGATCAAACCTGCCTTCTATTTATCAGAGAAAGGAAAGCTAGAACATTTTTCCAAAGCTTAGATCCTGTTCTCTATAAGGAATGTTGGCACATGAGCCTGGGGGGAAAGAGGCTGAAGTAATAAAAGCTCAGAACTGGGTTATTAGAAAACTGGAGTCTTCTGATTCTTGTTCTGCCTCTAACTTGCTAGGTGTCCTTTGGCAAATGATTTCTCCTCTCCAGGCCTCCTTTTCTTTATATACAAAATGAGAGAAATGAACTTGATCAGTTCCTCAAACTTTTTACCACAAATAACATCCTTTATTATATTTCCTCCCAAACTCCATCATCAAACTGCAGTTTAAGTGATCATCTCTTGTGGTCCTTTTGCGGGAAAAGAGAATTTTGTTACTGTTTTTGAAATGCTGGAAAATGTTGAAATTTCTGCATCACTTCCTTAGTGATTGGTTGGTGACTCTAGATCTCTAAACATCCACCAGGACTAAAAGCATGATTCACAGACGCGCAAGCCCCTAGGAGGTTATTACTGAAAGAGACTTTAGAGAGCTCTGGACTAAACATCTCATTTTACAGGTGAGGAGACTGAACCTAGAGAAGCGAAGGAAAGCCTTGGCTCCCAGACCATGCCTGGAATTGAGGCTACCAGGTCTCTTCTTTCCCACTGCATTCTTCATTGCACCTTGCTGTTCTCACCACTCTATGGTTCTTCAACTGGCTTTGACTATCCAGACCATTGCTTCATACCTTTCCTGTCTCTGATTCTCTCCACCACCTGATCTGATCTTTAAGTCTCAATCTGGCTAGACTCCTGCTCTGCCTGAGCTCCCAAGGCCCTTCAGCATCCCCAGCCAGCTCTGCTTAACAACCTCTGTCCTGCTGCAGCCCACGCCCTGGCAAAGCACAAAGGCATGTGGGTCCCTATCTTCCCAACATGTGGGATAGTTACACAGGCACCACACTGATGCCAGAAAGGCCCACGGCACACTCCCAGAGTCCTGGGACAGCCAAGACTAAAATGGTAGCCAGTTCCCAGGCATTAGCTGGGTCCCTGGTAGCTCACCCTACCCTTCTCAACCTTATCTCCAGTAGTCCTGTCTGCTCAAGGTACTGGGCTTGGCATCTAACCCCTGCCTTCTTGGAACCTTAGATTAAGTCACAAGCACACAGTCACCAATTAAACAAATGTAATATTCGATAAGGGTTATTTCCTCTATCTATAGACAAAAGAATGGATTTGGGACCTGGGGGTGATATTGGCAACAAATAGGAAGATAATGTTCATTGAAACCACTTAACCAATGAATCAGGAAAGACTTTTTGGAAGAAATGGGACTTCAAGATCAGTCTGAATTTAATAATTTGCCCTCATCCCTCCTAGAAATAAAACACTTAATTCAACCCTAGTGCATCTGTCTCTAAAAAACCTAAAAAGTGTGACAGGAATTTCAGATAAATGTGTAGTAATATGGTATGGAGATGTTCTTGCTTTCTCTGGAATGCTACTTTCATTGATAAGACCACTTCTATTTCCAAAATCCAAGTGTGCCTGCCCTGACCAATTTATGAGATAGCAGATGTAAGGTAGGACGTTTTCCAACCAACTAAGGCCTCACACCAAGGATACCCACAATAAAGAAATTTAAGAAAATATGCACCAAAGCCACATCTTAGAGGGAACCCCTCCCCTCACAGTCACCAAATTTGTCCACTCCCATTAACAGGCAGAGGACAATATATAAAATGCCATTAGTATGGTAGCTGCTGAGTAAAAATGAAGGGAGAACTTGGTGTCTAGCCAGGAAGCCCTGCTGTTCTCATGCAATGCCAAAAGCAATGTGCTGGGATTGTGAATGGGTAAGAATGTGAACCCTCACCAGATCCTGATCCCTGGAGGGGCAAAGCCCTAGGCACAGGCTCTCTGATTCTCCCCTCCCTGGCCTCTGGCACAGTTTTGAAACATAAAGCAGGGAACCAGCTTTTATAAGATACCCCAAATAGTAGGAGATTGTAACAACCCAGGCTAGCAAACTGGTGGCAGGTACTACTATTATTGCTAGTTGACAAAACAAAAACAAAAAAAACACATAGCATAGAGAGATGTTTAGTCAGAAGGCTGATTAGTGAAATCACCCAGAAAAAGCTAATAATAGCAGACTCACCCTGTGTGACTATGAGGGAGCCAAATTCTAATAGGTATTGAAGGGATGAGGGAAGGACTAGGGCATATGTGCAGTAAGGAAGGGCACATGACTAAGTAGAAAGGAGAGGACCTCAGAAAAGAAGTTTGGTGAAGGCCTCATATGTGCTCTTCTGCAAATAGCAACACACTCAAAGCACACAACTCTTTTAGCCTGTTCCTATAACACTAGGATTCCAGATGCCACAGGCCACACAGAGGGAAAGGCTGAACACGTAGAGGTTGGGAACCCAACCTCCCTCCTCAACCACAACAGCTCCCAGATCTTTTGACTCCTCATTCATTGCTTTTTCTCTTATACTGTCAGATTTTGCTGGCTTCCAAGGGAACAGGAAAACTGTGAGTTCAGGTGTGAAAAGAAAAAAAAAAAGATCAAGAGCAGAGGCAATGGATCTATTTGGTTAAAACATCCCCTCCAGTTCCCTGAGTGGTGGAGAGGCTTGGGGTTCAGGAACTTCAAAATCAGCCACCAGTGCCTTGACTCTCGGCAGGCTAGTGTGTGAAAACTGAAATTTGATTTTTGAAAAATAAGAAAAGAATGTGATTAGGGGCAGGTATTTCCTTCTAAGAGGGCCAGCCTGGAGTAGCAGAGTTATAGGAGCTGGGTTGCCCCAGCTATCAGAGGGGAGGCCAGAGCACCCCAGTAGCCATCATAGGTCACTCTCCCTCCTAGCCTCACTCTTTCTCTCTGCTCAGAAATTTCCACTGCCTCCTAGATTTCCAGACTGGCCAAAGAAGAGAACACTAGCTTCTTCCTCACATGCTAACTTAATTTATGTGTATGGTAGTGCAATCTAGAGAAATCCTGGCTCTATAACTTTGGTAAGTAACTTAATCTTCTCTGGGTCTCATTTCTCTATAAAGAGTGATAATAATGATAATAATATCTTCCTTGTAAGGTTATTGTGAGGATTAAATAAAATTAAAATAGGAAAATCTCAGAATTTGGCACCATATAGTAAGTGGTTTTACACTCCTTACTTTCCTTTTTTAATTTTCATATATCTACATGAAGGGCAGAGATTTGATTATCCCTAAGGGCACTTACATCTCATATAAGTGTCTGATTCATATATTTATAGATAAATCTGATTTTGAGGTTGTTAAAACACTTGGTAAGACTGTCACTAACACCCCTTTGAGATGGACCATCCTTTTGATCCCCATTGGCCTCAGACCTTTCCAATGGTTAGACCATTCAAAGGCAGAAACAGTTATTTTTATCGTTGTATCCTATGGCTGAGGGCAGAGTTTACAGATTTGTTAGGGCTTCTGCACAGAATCTTGGTGTGACTTTGTTGTAAGGCCAAAGGTCCACATGCAGCTAAGGTGCCCCAGCCCATGATGATAATGTTTTCTTGTGAGAGCCTATCCTTCCCATGTTCCAGCTGAAGCTCTTCCCATATCCTTTCAACTGGTAAGTACTGCATCTTGTTTACCAGTGGTCCCTCCTGGGGGACTGGGAGATATAGGACCTGGATCCTACCCTTTTACCTAGAGGGAAGGGAACCTCACTTACCACCCATGGCTTGTCACAGAAGTTGTAAATGGATTCAAGTGAGTTGATGCTGGGGAGGCCTGCATACTGCATGCCAATGATCAGGTGGCGGAAGTCCTCATTCTCCGCCATGCCAAATGCATGCTGCCGGATGAGCACAAAATCTGGCCGGAAGGACCTGGTAAAAATGTAGAGGCAAGTTTGCCATTAACCAGCACCTCAGGTTGTACATCACCTTGTCTCCCATTTCCAAAGCCCAAGACAGAGAAGGGGTCTTCGGGGCCACCTGGTCCAAGTCCTTTATTTTATTATTATTATTCTTTATGGACTAAAAATGAGGTATTACGGCATATCTCAAAGAGAAACATATTCCTTTTGTTGTTGTTAATCCTCGCCCAAGGATATTTTTTTCCCCATTGATTTTTAGAGAGAGTGGAAAGGAGGGGGAGAGACAGAGAGAGAGAAACATCGATGTGAGAGAGACACATTGAAAGGTTGCCTCCCGCACGCGCCCAACCAGGGCCAGTGACCAAGCCTGCAACCAAAGTATGTGCCCTTGACTGGAATCGAACCCATGACCCTTCAGTCCGCAGGCCAACCCTTTAAACACTAAACCAAACCGGCTAGGGCTGAGAAACATATTTCTAAAATTCCCTTATTCCTATTGGTTAAGCACTGCCTTTTCATAAGGTACAAATGCCCTCAGGAGGAAAGAAACACTTTTAGATCCTCACACCTTAAATGAACAAGAATTTTCCCTATCACTATGGGGTAGTATAAAAGTTGAAGCTCCTTGTGGCTCCAGAATTGGTGTTCCAAGGGGGTCCCAGCAGACACTGTCCTGTTTTGAGTCAATAAAGCTGCTCCTTAAAATAGGCAATGCCCTCATCAGGCCCCCAGGAGAGCAAGGGTCCAAGCTGGCTGAAACCAGATGCCAGACTTCCCAATGTTATTCTTCCAAAACGGACACTGGGGAGAGGTACAAATATTTTTTGCAGAACTGAGGTTGAGCAACAGCTACAGGAAACACTGAGAGTACAGAATGTTCCCATGCATGGGAAGGCTCCCTGTATTTCACCTCTAGCCAGAAAAGCTCTTAACCACAGCTGCTCTACAGGACTAGGGCCCCTATGTTCATGCCCTTACTCCTGAGGAACCTCATCTCAGAAATTCAATTCTGTGGCAGCTTCCACCCTTAAGGCTCTAGGACTCAGCAATTTCACACCATATGCAATGATCTACCTGGTTCTCTGTCCAGGCACCTATCCAACCTCCCCCTACAACTACAGCCCCACCCAGGCACAAAGATCAATCTTTTAAAGTGGGGATGGAAGGAGCCCTCCTCCGTCACTCAGGAGACTTAGCATCAAGTGCTGGAGCTGCTCTGACCTCCTAGTGCCCCAATTCTGGGAAACTGGCTTCAGCTGTACCTAAGATCAAATCTTAAACCCCAGTTATAGGAATTGAGCTCTAGATTTGTGGCCAGCTCTTGAGATCCTATACTGGTACCTGGAAGGGCCTGCCTTATTCTTGCCAGATCCCTCCCGGCACCTGTAACTATCTGCTTGTGTGCATGCACCCCTATGACTCACTCTACCTGTAGCTTGAGAAACCCATTATTATCTCTCTTGTAGGATCTCCCCAATCTCACTCCCGTATGGACAGACATCTATCTCTTTTTCTGTCCTCCTTAGTCTCCAGGATGAATGAACTCAGGATGGACAAGCTCACATTTCCTGTTGTTAGGTTCCAGAAACCTGAGTTTTGCCTGTCCTGTCACTGACCCAGTTCCTATTGGACACTGGAGGCATCAGTGTCAGGGTACTGCAGATTGGTATAGGGAAGAGAGTGAAGTGAAGACTCTTCGTGGAGCAAGACTCACACATCTGAAAACCGGAAGCCACATCGAGCCCTGGGTAAGAATAATACTGTTGAAATCATTTTCCCAGTCTGGAATTCTCATCACCTCCCTCACAGAAATGTTGTATTATGTTTGATCACATCTATGAGTGCCCATTGCACTACCTGGCATATAAGTGCTCTGTAATTGATATTTTTCTTCCACCCATAATGTCCCTTCTGACTCTAGGCTTTCTTATTAGAGTTATGAGTTCCCAGGGATGAGGAATATAGAAATAACACAGGACTTGGAGTTAAGAGAATGCACATAGAACACAGGGCTCTGCTAACAACTCACTGAGTCAATCTGAGCAAATCAATGTAAAATAAGAGGCTGAAATAGATCAGAGGTTTTCAAACTTTATTTTTAAGCAATAGAGTCCTGATTTCCAGGGAAAATATATGCAGAGATAAAAGCACATGGCTGTACTGGCTGAAGTGGGGCTGGAGTCCTGGAATCCCTCTAACAGGAATCCAGTTACCTCTAAGTAAGCTCTTAGTCCATGAAGCTTTCTCTACCATTGGACTAAGAGCTCCCTGAGGCAGGAGCTGGTTTCCTCTGACTTCCTGTACCACTTCTGCACAGCACACATCATTAAGTTCTACACACTATACATAGTAATATTATCCCACTCCAACACTTGATTTTGAAACTGCCTCTGCAAGCCAGAGAAGGTAATTCTGGAGACAGTGACAGTAACCCCAAGGAGAGAAAGGACCTTACCGGACAACCTTTGTGCCATTCCGGAGTACCTGCATATCCACAGCACAGGTCCCATCTGCATGGGCCACCAGGTTGAGCTCTGAAAATTCTGCCTGGAAAGTAACAGTAGGGATTAAGAAGGCTATGTGTTTTTTACTATGGTAAAAAGTAAATAATAATAACAGTAGAGGAATAAGTCCACAGTCCTAACTTTGCCAAATCCCCCACATAGCAGCAGCAATAACATCCTCACCACCATTTTATTTACAATTTTCAAAGCACTTTCACAAACTGATCTCATTTAACTCATAGCAACTCTATGAGGCAGGAGGAACAGAGATAAAGAGCAGTTAAGTAGCTTTCCTAGACAAAAACAAAACAAAAAACTTATTGTTGGCAGTAAAGAAGCAAAACTCAGGTCTTCAGACTCCCAGCATCCTTTGTGCTGCCTCTCTGAGAGCAGGAATTTGAACCAGGGCAAATGTGCCCTTTATCAGTTTCAACATAAAAGCACTAGATTTTAGATTAGGCAACTGGGTTTTAGTTCTGCTCTACTCCCAACTAGCTGTGTACGACATTAGACAAATTACTTATACTCTCTGGAGGAAAAGTTCCTCCCATGTGTAAAATGGAAAAAATTTTGTCCTAGCTGGATGGCTCAGTTGGTTGGAGCATCATCCTATACACCAAAGGATTGCAGGTTCAATTCCTGGTCAGGGCACATACCTAGGTTGCGGATTCAATCCCCACTTGTTCAGTGTATGGGAGGCAACTGATCAATATTTTCTTTTTCTCTCTCTCTCTCTCTCTCTCTCTCTCTCTCTCTCTCTCTCTTCCTTCCCCTCTCTCTAAAAATCAATGAAAACATATCCTTGGGTGAGAATTTAAAAAAAGGAAAATTTTGATCAACCCTGTCTATATAACAACTTATTTTAAGAACTGAATGCAATGCAATAATGGATAGGAAAGTACTCTGTAAACCACAGCACATTGTGTAAGGAATAATGAGTAACTTCTATTATTACATAGAAAATACATAATTGCTTAAATTGCATATCCCCCACCTCTCTACCCAAATGAATCTAATTTCTATTTATCATGAAGCAAAGAATAGAGAAAGATAGAAAATGAGCCTTTCAGGACTTTACTGCATTAAAACAAGGAGGTGTTCTTTTCTAAGTTCTCTCTGAATTATAGTCTTAAGCCCAGAGTAGTCACCAGTGGAGGCCACACACCTGAATGCCAAACATGTGCCTACCCAGGAATACCATGCCACCAATAACATGGAGCTGTGGCCAGTGATTTGGAAAGACATTCCTCTAAGGTTTTCCTCAGCCTGAGAACCCTGCACTACATGAAGGCCCTAAGAGCCACACTATTTGCCTCCCTATGGACACCAGAACCATGGTAAAAAGTCAGAAAAATTGAAAAATACAGCCTTCAGGACTATGTCTCATTAAAAGAAAAGCCCTGGGCCCTAACCGGTTTGGCTCAGTGGATAGAGCGTTGGCCTGTGGACTCAAGGGTCCCAGGTTTGATTCCGGTCAAGGGCATGTACCTTGGCTGCTGGCACATCCCCAGTAGGGGGCATGCAGGAGGCAGCTGATCGATGTTTCTCGCTCATCGATGTTTCTGGCTCTCTATCCCTCTCCCTTCCTCTCTGTAAAAAATCAATAAAATATATTTTAAAAAAGAAAAGAAAAAGAAAAGCCCTGGGGAAAGGGTGGGGTTCAAGAGATAGCCTGAAACCCAGCGAGGGATGCTGTCTTCCACTCAGCAGGACTAGATGGTTCACTCTGGAATGCCAAGAGGGATTGATGATGACACAGATCCAGCTCTGGGCTTCGGGCTGATTACCTGTTCCACTTTGATATCATAATCTCCAAGGACTTTTTTGCCCCGAAAGCACTTGGCCCTGGAAAAATAAAAAATAAAAAAACACAAATTAGTTTTGTACATGTGTTTGAGGTCAGAAATTCATTATCCCAAAGACGAGCCTACAGCAAACAGAACCCCAGAATGACAGTCAAGAGTCGTGGGTTAGGGTTAGAGCCTAACTTTGCAATTGGATCACCATAATTGAGAGCCTCAAGCAAACCATTTCCCCTCCTTTACATGTTCAACTTATCCACCTATAAAATAAATCAAAGCACTTTTCACTCTCAGGTTTTGTAATCCTATATAATAAAAGGCTAATATGCAAACTGTCCCCATGGGCAGGAGTTCAACCAACCAGGAGTTAGACATGCGCTGACCACCAGGGGGCAGCGCGGAACATGGCAGGCGTAGGCAACACGGTGCTGGCAGCGGCGTCAGTGGAGGCACTGCCAGTCCCAATAGGCCCCGATGAGAGCGGGACCATGGCGGGATGGTGGAGCAGGTGAGCAGGCAGCGCCAGGCCAAGGCAGGTGCGAAGGGAGACCCTGGCCGGCGGCGGTGGCAGGCAGCTGGGGGAAGAGAAGCCCCAGCCAGCAGCCAGTAGCTGCTAAGGACCCTACCCATGCACGAATTTTGTGCACTGGGCATCTAGTCTATATATATAAAAGCTTAAGTGACCATTTGACCATTTGACCAGTAGCTATGATGCACAATGACCCCAGGGGACAGATGCTCCAACCAGTAGAGGAGGGAGTCTGATTCCTCACGGAATCAGTCGTGGGTTAGGTTGCTGCTGGGGCACTGTTGGCCCTGAATCTTCTTCAGCTGCACCCCTAACCCAAAGAGGAGGGAGGAGGGAGCCCGATTCCTCACGGAATTGGCCATGGGTTAGGTTGCTGCTGGGCACTGTCAGCCCCTAATCTGCTTCACCAACATCCCGGACCCATCGGGGGATGTCAGAGAGCTGGTTTCCACCCAATCCCCATGGACCAGGCTGAGGGACCCCACCAGTGCACGAATCTGTGCACAGGGCCTCTAGTTTTATATCTCGGGTCTTTTGGCTACCAAAGAAATCTAAAAGTAAGAATTTCCCTAATATTGTTCCTGGTAAAGACTAAGTCAATCTTCTATAGTTTCTTTATCTTCCCCCATCTGACATTTCACTCTGATTTTCTATTTGGTTTCCACCTTTGAAAGTTTACTTTTAAAGAAACGTATTTTGCTTCTTCATACCATACTTCAAAAAAGAATGTGAGGCTACCAGAAAAAGAAAAAAAAGAGAAGGATGCTGAGTAAAGCTACTATAATTGAACACAACACCTATCCTGTATTTCTGAGCAATCAAGAAAATGACTCAAGCCCTGGCCAGCTAGCTCAATTGGTTAGAGCATCATCCTAGTATGCCAAGGTTGTGGGTTCAATCCCTGGTCAGGGCACACACAAGAATCAACCAATGAATGCATCAATAAGTGAAACAATAAATCAGTGTTCCCCTCTCTCTCTCTCCCTCCCTCTATCTCTAAAATTAATAAATTAAAAATTAAAAAGAAAAAAAATGAGTCAAACTGTTATATAGTATTTATTCACCTTCCATTTTGTCATGGATCTGGAGGAACCTCACATTAATGCATTAATGGCTTCACAGTCTCTGATAAACAGATTGTGTTATGCTTATATTTATATCCATTCCTACTTTATCCTTAACCTGTCCTCCCTGCCATAAGCTTTTCTTATCTGTCTACTTTGGCTGGTTCTCTATTTGTAAAAAGGGCCTTTCCACACTGTACCTGTTAGCTAGGTTGGCTTGCTTTCCCAGTGCTTGAAATTTCAAATTAGCATGTTTCACTGAAGATTTTCTAGAAGTCCCTCTCCAAAATAAAGGAATATATTAAAATATTGTCCATCACATTCTAGGAACTGTGTATTACTTGCTTTCAATAACATATTTAATCCTCTTAACAACTCATGAGATAGGGGAAAAGGTCTTTATTTTCAAGATGAAGAAATCAAGATTCAGAGGAAAAAAGTGTCATAGGGCAAGTTAATGACAGAGCAAGCATTCACACCCAAGTCTGAGTCCAGTCACCTTGTCACTGCATAGCACTCTCTCCCTCTGTTGATTCATTCTCTCCATCTTCACTCCCACCATTACAAAAACTAACTTGTCATGTGTACTGCATTGCATTCCCCCCTCCCCCATTTCCTTCTTCCGTTCAAAAGGGACTTGATGTTGTAGTTCCACTACAAATACTTCCTACCCTGGTTCCTGTGAACTACCCAGGACGAGGCCAAGCTATTTCCTTTCCTCTCTGGGTTCTGGAACAGTCCGTTCTAGGAAGTTGTCATTTGTCCTATCCAAGTCCCTGGCCACACTCAAATTGCTCCTCAGAGGCATTCAGCCATCCTGGAGTTGAATCACTGAAGTCCATCCCTCCACCTCTGCCCTAATTCCTTACTTAGCTTCTCAGTTTGCTTCCAGGACCCTGTTCAACATTCATAGTTCAGCAAGCCCCTTGGGCAAGGGACCTATAGCATATCCTGTCCCTTTGGCTACTGTTCCATCTTACTTACTGGTTTAAATAATAGTCTATGCATGGCACTATCATTGCTCTGAAGCTTTTGCACTCTGTAGGTCTTTGTCCATGACTATAAAAGGGAGGAACTAGAAGATATGACCCATGGGGTTCCTTTTTGGTATTGGTTAGGTGTGCTACCTTGTTACCAGCAATGCTTTTTGGATGCTTTCTCCCATTTTCCATCTCAAAATAGCTCTTCTTCTCTGAGGTAAGTCTCAGAAACATTAACAGTAACTTCTTATCCTTGCATTAACAGTAGGATGCCTTGCATTTTCTTTCTTTTTTTTTTTAAATATATTTTATTGATTTTTTACAGAGAGGAAGGGAGAGAGATAGAGAGTTAGAAACATCGATGAGAGAGAAACATCGATCAGCTGCCTCCTGCACATCTCCTACTGGGGATGTGCCCGCAACCCAGGTACATGCCCTTGACCGGAATCGAACCTGGGACCTTTCAGTCTGCAGGCCGACGCTCTATCCACTGAGCCAAACCGGTTTCGGCGCCTTGCATTTTCCATTCCTTGCCTTATTTGTTTCTTACAACTCTGTGAAGCAGCCAAGACAGATAGTGCTGTCCATTTGACCAGTGGAGAAACTGAAACCCAGAGCAGTTAAATAATATGCCCAAATCACACAAAAAATTCATGAGTTAAATTTAGAACTAAGAGTTTATATCTAGGTGCCAACGTTTTTTAATTCGCTAATTTATTTTATAGGTTTTGAATACTAATATTAAAGTATATTTATAGATTCTGGCTGGGTTTATCTGCCACTTCCTGCATCTGCCCATTGACCAAGTTGGCTAATGATACTGTTTTCATGCCTTCTCCCCACCCCCAACTCTCCAATTATGTTAATGCCTTTTCCTTAAGGTAATTTGTCCTGTTAGAAATCTTAGTCTGTATTTCCTGGCTCCAGGTCACTGACCTCTCTTGGCTGAGCTACAATTTTATAAAAAAGGATCCAAGATGGCAGGCGGATGGGGGCACAAAACCTTCTTCTGGAGAATGAGCACATTCTCCTAGCTCATGGCCTTTGGATGTTTTGATTCTAGGTATTTTCGTGAAAAATTTTATAGCTTACAAGCAAGAGACAGAAGTACTTCCTGATACTAAGAGCACTGTTAGGAGGCAATGTGCTAGAATCCAGAAAAGTTCTGGATCACAGGGCTCTGGCTCACAGTCGGGGTGGGAATCCTAGCTTTGCCCTCTCCTGGCTGTGTGATCTTGAGCAAATGGCTTAAATTTATATACTAGAGGCCTGGTGCATGAAAATTCATGCACTGGAGTGGTGGTGGGGGGGGGGGGGGGTCCCTCAGCCTGGCCTGCCCCCTCTCACAGTCTGGGAGCCCTCAGGGGCAGGAGACAACCCAGCGATCAGGGGAAGGCGACGCCCCTATCACACCTCTGCTGCTGCCACTGCCGGCAGAGCAAGCCTTGGCCGGCCCTGGTTACCTGAGCCTTGAGCAGCCCTGGGAGGCTGGGCAGCTGCCATCCAAGGTTTGCCTGCACCTCAGGCCGACCCTAGGTGGCTCGGCAGCCAACATCTGGGGCTTGCCTTCGCCTTGGGTGTCGGCTGAGTAGCTGCCATCCAAGGCTTGCCTGTGACTCAGGCTGGCCCTGGGCGGCTGGGGGGCTGAGGGGACCGGGGGACTTCGGAAGTAGGCGCATGGAGTGGCCAGGCCCACCTGGGAGTGGGCCTGGCCTTGCCGCACACCTGCTGCCCTGGCAGAGCTGAGGGGACTGGACGCCACCATCTTGTGGCTGTGGGTGCCGCAATCTTTGAGGGCATGGCAGTCAATTAACATATTCCCTCCTTATTGACTGTGGGTGCCGCCATCTTTGCGACAGCATGACAGCAATGAGCATATTCCCTCTTTATTAGATAGGATATATATATGTGTATATGGTATGTCATACAATCAAGTCAATCAAATAATAAATCAAAGGATAAAATAAAAAATAAGTTTATCCTTCCCCATTCCTCTATCATCACACATACTCCCCATTATCAGTGCAAGCATATCCTCCCGTTGTGGGGGAAATGTGTGCATATAGCTGCATACACATATGTTTCAATATGCAAATGGCATCATCCTATATCAGTGATGGTGAACCTTTTGAGCTCGGCGTGTCAGCATTTTGAAAAATCCTAACTTAACTCTGGTGCCATGTCACATATAGAAATTTTTTGATATTTGCAACCATAGTAAAACAAAGACATATTTTTGATATTTATTTTATATATTTAAATGCCATTTAACAAAGAAAAATCAACCAAAAAAATGAGTTCGTGTGTCACCTCTGACACGCGTGTCATAGGTTCGCCATCACTGTCCTATATAATAAAAGGCTAATATGCAAATTGACTGAACGGTGGAACTACCAGTCACTATGATGTGCACTGACCACCAGGAGACAAACGCTCAATGCAGGAGCTGCCCGCTGTGGGAGTGCACTGCTCAGCCAGAAGCCCTGAGCCGGCTCACGGCTGGCAAACGTAGCAGCAGTGGTGGGATGTCTGACTGCTGAGTTAGGCACCCTCCTCCTGGGGAGTGGGCCTAAGCCATCAGTCAGACATCCCCAGAAGTCTCCCGGACTGCGAGAGGGCACAGGCCGGGACTGCTGAGGGACCACTCCCCCGACCCCCGGAGTGCACAAATTTCACGCACTGGGCCTCTAGTACTATATAAACTCTTCTTTTTTGAACTTTGATTTTTATTGCACTTAAAAATACATCTTTTTAAAAAATATATTTTTATTGATTTCAGAGAGGAAAGGAGAGGGAGAGATAGAAACATCAATGATGAGAGAATCTTTGATTGGCTACCTCCTGCATGCTCCACACTGGGGATCGAGCCTGCAACCTGGGCATATGCCCTGATCAGGAATCCAACCATGACCTCCTGGTTCATAGGTCAACACTCAACCACTGAGCCACACTGGCCGGGCAAAAAATACATCTTAGTGATATGTTTTCATCACATATTGATAGACCTCTCTCTTAACAGTTGTATGAAATTCCACTTGAAGGTCCTACAGTAATCTAAACAATATTTATTGATGAGCATTTAGATCTCCAGTTTTTTGGGTTGTTTGTGCTATAACAGTGTTACAATGGCTTACATTTAAAAATATATCCATAGGATAAAGAATTTATTTTTTTCTAGCTTTACTATAGTATAATTGATAAATGAAATTATATATAAAGTGTATACCATAATGATTTGGTATACATATACTTTGTGAAATGGGATTACCACAGTCAGGTTAACAAATCCATCACCTAACATAGTTACCATTTGGGTGTGTGTGTGTGTGTGTGTGTGTGTGTTGAGAACACTTAAAATCTACTCAGCAAATTTCAAGTATACATACAGTATTATTAACTATACTCATCATGTTGTACATTAAAAAGACAAATAATTTATGGCAAAATTGTTGGTGCAATGAATAGACACAGTTATAGTTTTTACTGATAGTTCCATACTGCCCCCAAACCAAGAAAAAGATTATAGCACCTGCCTAGTGTTTGAAAGTTTGAAAAAGTTATTAGTCTATGACACGCACACACACATAGTTCCTTCCATAAGCTGGGCCCACTAAAAGTGCTCAGTATGGACTCTCTGACTACTAGTCTTGTCAAATCAATCCAAATTCACCCCCTTGTGCTCAGTCCTAAACAGAA